ACTCACGATTCTTCTGTATCATTCTCAATTGGATGGTTACTCGGTTCCATTGTGCTATCTGCTTTGGCTTTGACTACATGGACTTCAGTGTGATTATGCAATCTGGATTTCTGTGCTTCGTCCATATTCATGTTCCTTGCAATTTGGTATCGGAGCTGGTATGATTCGCCACTTACCTTTGGCATGCTGGCGTTATACAGACTTGGTGCGTTGATGATGCTTCTTCGCAGTTGGTACTTGTGACGTCAGGCCACTATTAGGCGCACGCCCTGGGTAGAGAGGGGTGCACCGGAAGGCTAAGACGGCAGTGTATGCCGTGGGTTACAGCGGAATGTTTGATTGATGATGAGAGCATGCTGATGTGGCATTGGACTAAGGTGGCACTGCATTGCGATGTGGGTGGTACCAAGGTCATGACCGGTCATCAAATGCAACTTCAGCTCAATTGGTGAGAAATCTGTGGTTGGGGGCAGCTATCTCCRGGTATGTTGATCCCTTACCTTATCTACCTTCTCAATCTCTTCTACCGTGAGGAAGTGAGTCCAGCTTGAGAGTCCTCTCCTTGGTGAGGTGTCGTGAGCGCGCTACCTTGAGAGACGGCAATCTTCCCGGAAGCATCTGGAAGGAGAAAGGGCGGTGCCTCTGAAGGGCCCTGGTCAAAGCACTGGGTCACGGTCACCATGCCAACCCACAGGGAGTAGTGCACGCATGCGATGGCTGCTGTCCTTGTTGGCACTTGCTGCGCTAAATAGAAGTCCTGCCGGGTGTACCAGCCCATGACAGACGCTTACCAGAACGTCTATAAACATTTCTGGTTGGGATTTCATTGTGATTCTGTCTGTGATCGTCGTCCTGACTGCAACGTTAAAGAATTCCTGAAGAGATGGGGGCGCTCTATATATTCTTCCTGATTAGCCAGATCACATGGACAGGAAGGCTCGTCGCCGTACGAGGGTAAATAAGAGTGGTTGGGCTGGCTTGCTCGGTAACGACTTGGGCACAGGGGTGGGCCGAAATACACACGAAGACACTGCTTGCTCATTGATGCTGCCCAGTATGTTGGATTGAGGGGAAGGGTAGGTTCCGGTTGATGCTCATTTGAATACACAACCATACCCATCAATCATACATCTGCTACATGGTCATTTTGTATTCTTGATTAGTTGGTGGACAGACTGCTAACACCTCACAGACAGATTAGTTCAGGACTGTAGTATGCTACCATATCCAGTTCTCTCTAATGTTGGCTGTAAGTGAACCAATCAGAGTACATCTAGACTATGTAGACAATCTGTGTGAATGATTGTAGACATGCCACTTGACCGGTACAGTAGGGGACCTGCCGGACACAACTACTTTTAGAAAACTAGGTGCCGGTCAGACACATGTTGTGGTAGGACTCCACTAGGGGGTTCTAGTGCAACCAATGTTTGCCTAATTCATGAACGGGTCAGACATCGATGAGGAGAGAGTTGACGATGCTAGACTAACACGTGCAAGGTCACGTAGGATCCCGCACGTGTTCCAGGCCCTACAACCGGAAGACGAAAGACGCATTCGTGCCGAACGCAGAGCCCGTGCTCTCGCAGCATCGAGAGTGGCAACAAACGTTGCAGCTAGGGAACAGGCTGCAGCAGCAGCAAGGGCAACAACCATGTCTTCTGCAGCAACATCCTCCACTGCATCTTCTGTTGTCTCCTCGTCTGGCCCCCTGTTGGGAATGCCAACAGGGTCCGCGGGCACTTCCAGTTCAGTAGGATCACGTCAGTTTACAAGTCAAATGGCGGGCTCGCAGTTCAGCCCGTTGACTCCTCGTGAAAGGGAGCTCTGGGAGCTCCAACAGGTCGAAAGGACCCGTGAAAGATTAGAGAGGGAACTGAAACAGGATACCGACAGAGAAAAGGAAATTAAAAATAGAACAGCCAGGCTTGATACATTAGAGGCTGACAAAGCTGAGTTAGAGGGCTTGGATGACTCTGGAATGAATGAGCCCATGAAAGTGTTGAGGAACAACATGCTGTCGCTGCATGCGCACGTGGACAGCAGGTTGGACTTCATGTAGAACACTTTGGACCAGATCCTGGACGCTTTGACAAGGCGAGGATTTAGGCCACCAGCACAATCGCCGTTGCCGTTATCGGCGATGTCAGGCCCCTTTCCAGTTCAAGCTGGTACACAACCAAGTGGTACGTCTGCAGCAGTCGCACAGACTGTTGCATCTTCTTCTTCGGGTCCAGCGGTGGGAGCTACACCACCGCAACAACCTGTTCAGCAATCTGGACAGCCGCAGGGTCAATGGTATCCTAAAACCCCAATGAAACCGCCTCTTCCCTTCTCAAGCGAGAGAAAGGACGAAGAACTCAACACTTGGTTGAGGACGGTCCCGGTTTGGGTGAAGGCAAAGAGAACCTTGCTGGAGGACGAAGTGGTAACTGCAGCATCTTACCTCGAGGGTAAGGCAGCCAAATGGTTAGATGGTGTAGTGATAAAGACCGGGTACGGGCGACGCATGGCGGACTGGGCTAAGTCATTAAGGTTAGACCAGTTCATGGAAATGGTAGAAGCTCGATGGCATAATCCACAGGAGGCACAAAGAGCCACAAATGCGATTAACAAGCTGGACCAACGAAAGTTCAAGTCGGTCAGAGAGCTTACGACTACCGTTGAAAGCCTGATCCTCGTCCCAGGCATCAACTACAGTGACCAGTTCCTGTTAACTACGTTTCTTAGATGTTTACCAGAGAACATCAGGAACTTACTGGCCAGCGAGGCACGCACTGAGTACCATTCGTTTGAGACACTGTCTAGGAAAGCCCTAAATTTGGAGGCCACGCTAGGCAATGCTCAACCAACCTCTCAGATTGACACGAAGAAGAAGAAGAGTCCTCAGGAGTGGAAGAAGAAGGGGGCTAAGTTGATGATGGTGGAGTCCGATGAGACTCAGACTGAGATCGACGAGCTCACTGACCTGATGGACTATACAAAGTTTGACGACAAGGAGGTAGCTGAGGGTAGCACCCTCGCCGCGGTAGTCAAGACTAAGGCAGGTGGCCGAGGGAAGGGCCAACCTAGGAGTCAAGGAAAGGACGCCTCCAATCAGACCAAGAAGGCTGAATGGGTGAAGGCAGGCCTTGACCAAGACGTGTGGCGTGACCGCCGAGTGCGTGGCGCTTGTATCAATTGCGGGGAATACGGACACTCGCAATACAAGTGCCAGAACGCAAAGGTTACGCAAAAGATACCTCCAAAGATGGGGGCATCTTATTCCCAGGCCTCAAGCTCGGGAAACCCGTGAGGCCAGTGGAAGTATTAGCTGCTTCTACTCAAGATGAGGTGGGATTGATACCCTCCCCACTTCATGACAAGGCCAAAGCTAATGACTCCTTAGTCACCCCGCAAACACATCTATCTTGAGGTGGGATTGATACCCTCCCCACTTCATGACAAGGCCAAAGCTAATGACTCCTTAGTCACCCCGCAGACACATCTAGACCAAACTATGCTCTGTACGTGGGATGTGTCTGAAGCCTTAGAAGACTTAGAAGGTGAGTGGTCAAACAAGGACCCTCGCGAGTCTTGGGTGGCGCTGAAGAAAGGTCCTAGCGGGGAACATTTCGTGGTGGAAGTGGATGTAGGAGGCCGCAAATGTGGAGCCTTCATAGACATCGGATCCACGCGGAATTACATAAGTCGCGACTGTTTGGAAAGGCTGCACCTACAGGACCGGGTACGACACCTTAGTAGACCTGTAGCATCTACTTTGGCCAACAAGGAGCGCATGATCGTAACAGACTACATCAAGGACGTAGTCTGTACCTTCTCCTATTGAGGAGGCGAACTTAACCATAAGATCTCGTTCTTGGTTAACGGGCTTACCATTCGACATGTTATGAGGCATGTACTACCTCGAAGTTGCTAAGCCCCAGTTTGACTGGGATAAGAAGGTGCTCAAGCATAAGTTGCCCGATGGCCGAACTGTCAGATTGACCAAGTTCAAGGCCAGTAGTATTATAGATACCTATGGCTGCTTGTGCGCATCAGCGTTCTACAATTATTACAAGCAAAACGAAGAGGAGGGTATGTACCTTGTGTATGTCTCTGAGAAAGGGGAGGCCGTTAAAACACCCCCAGAGATAGAACGCGTCGTTGCTAAGTTCC